GCAACCCCAGGGGAACTCCCCTCACTCTTCTCCATCCTGTTAGCAAGGTGGGAAAGCTATCCTTGTACCATTCCAAGATGATACAGCAAGTCTAAGCTGGAGAGGCACAGGTTTTCGGCTTAAAATTGCCTAACAATACTTCCTGCAGACTCGGTGAGTGCCTATTAGAAGGGCAGCAAGGCCCCACCGGCTTGGCTCAGTGGTTGAGTGTCCTATGAACCAGGAGGTCATGGTTTGATTCCTGGTCAGGCCATATGCCCAGGTTGCGGGCTCGATCCCCAGGGTGGGACATGCAGGAGGCAGCCGATCAATGCTTCTCTCTAATCATTGATGTTTCCATTTCTCTCTCCCTCTCCCTTCCACTCTGAAATCAATAAAAATGTATTTTTTTAAAAAGAAGGGCAGCAAAATGACAATGACACAATATCAGTGCAATGGTGTTGACTCAATGACACCAGGAACTTTCTCAGTGAGCCCACCATTCCCACTCACCACAATCTAATTGGACTTCCCAGCCTTCATTTCTCACCCCTTTCCCTACATTATTTATCCCTTGCCTCTCCTTCCTGGACCTATTCCTCTCTCTCTCTCCTGAGCCAGGAATGTGATCAGGTCTCTCTGTCTTCGTGGCCCTGTTGACCCCCTTCTCAAGTAGTTCACAAGGCTACATGGCCCCTCATCATCCTGAACTATCCAGGTGATCTTTCTCCCACATTGCAGGTGCTCTAAGAAGCCTTCATGATTATAAGGCCATTCGTAAGACCCTTCAGGGGCCTCTGTCACTCATCACCATCAAAGGCACCACCAAATGACAACTCAATCACCCATGAATATGAGGGAGGAGGAACGAAATAAAAGCATATGTGTCCCACAAGGTAAGTGGAACCACGAGGAAACAATCAGACAAATCAGAATGTGAGACATTCTTCAAGTCAACCAACGTGGATGCCTCAAAATATTAGTGTTATAAAAATACATGAATGAAGAAAGGGAGAAAGGAAGGAAGGAAGGAAGGAAGGAGGGAAGTCTTCTAGATGGAAGGAAGGAAGGAAGGAAGGAGGGAAGTCTTCTAGATCAAAACACACTAAAGGGACTTAAGTGAGTGATCCTGGTTTGGAAAAAGAAGACAACGGAAATATATTTTTGGAACAGTTGGTGGAAATTGAATGTGAATTAAATATTAAACCATATAGGATTATTGGATTTGAATTTTTGGTGGGGGAAGTGCTAATAGTACTGTTGACATGTAAGAGAATGCTTTATTCTTCAGAGATGCAGACTGAAGCATTTAGTAGGTAAGTGTCAAGATATCTGCAACTTACTTTTAAATAGTTTAACAGTAACAGAATATGCATATACTTCTAAAAGAGACAAGCAACTAAGGCATATTAGCAATCATTAAATCGGTGAAGTATTATGAGTGCAGTACAATTCTTTCCATTTGTGTGTATAAAAATGTTCAAAAGTGAAAAAATGAGGGGAAAAATAATAAATGCTCCAGATGCTTGCCATGTCCCAGCTGTGCTTTTGTATATTGCAGCAGACCAGATAAGGCAAATAAAAGAGAATTTTTTTAAGTCTATTTAGTTTGGTCAGGTATGTCATCATTTCTTACGCAACAAGTAAGCCTACTAATTGTATTTAGGCTAACAGGGAAGAAGGTTTGGCTCATCAACACAATTAATGACACTGGGATGCTATGTCCTTTGAATGAGGTAACAGCAGGAAGCCTGAAACTAAGACACTGCTACATTCATTGACAAAGTTTATAATATCCCTAGGTAATTGAGGGGAGACCATAATGCATCCATCTGTTTATCTGTGTGAAGCAAGCAGCCATATATTTACTTTATGAGTCCACTCGCATGGACATGTCAGTCTTGGACCCCGGGTTCCTGGGAGGCAGGGACCGTCTCTATCCACATCTTTGCTCATCCTCAGCATGGCGCCATGGCCAAATACATGTTCAATGTGGCAATAAAAAGTTGATGGTGATGCTGATGTTGTGAAATGAGCATGTGCCTGGAATCTCCAAATCTTGGAGGGCTTTGTTGCTGGTGCTGGTGGAACCTGGCACATCTGCCCAGCCCTATTACCCTGAGGTCCTCCTCTTGGAGCTGCTCCATGTATTCCAGCATCTCCTCCTTCTCCTGCTCCTGCTGCTCCGCAAACAGCGATAGCTCCTCCTGCTTCCTTTGCATCTGTTGCATAATGTGCCGTTTTCCTCTGGAGGAAACAGAGCCACAATGTCTTAGAAATCAAGGGTCTGTTCCTCTAGGCTCCAAACTTCACCCAAGTGACTCCCAGAATGGGAGGCATGGCAGGAACAATTTGAGATGTGCTCTAGCCATCACTATGGTTCCTGAGCCCAGACCAAAGTCCTCCCCAGTGTCTCAAGGGGTCAGTCCTCTCTCTCTTTCGAGCTCCTGGTTCTGGGGCTCATACTTCTTGGTATTCCCTTTCTTCATTTGTTCCCAAGAGTGCACCCCACATAATAAACTGTCTCCCTTTCAGCATGTAAAGAGCTTCTGAAATCCTACCACCTCCCAAGCCTTCCCAGAGTAATCACAGGGAGCTAGCTTTGCATGCTAGCTCCACAGAGCTTCAAGAGTTGAACATCGACCTATGAACCAGGATGTCATGGTTCGATTCCCAGTCAGGGCACATGCCAGGGGTTATGGGCTCGATCCCCAGTGTGAGGTGTGAAAGAGCCAATCAATGGTTCTCTCTCATCATTGATGTTTCTATCTCTCTCTCCCTCCCTCCCTCTCCCTTCTTCTCTGAAATATATATATACTTTAAAGCCTATGACTTCCCCTTCCTCCAGTTCCCCTGCTATCACCCC